CATTTAAAATCCACTATTAGAATCCATGCACACCTGAAAGATGTAAGCGCAGAAGCTGCAGCCCAGGACAGCATGAGGCCTTGCCTCCCCATCCCCGGGATCGCAGGGCACAGGGAACTTGGACACATTCTTCTGTTTCTCTCTCTAACATGTGGAATCTGCAGAAACCCCTCTTGCCCCATCCACTTCACCAAGAAGGAAGGGTTTAACCCACCTGGCTCGTCTCCTGCCTTGAGGATGCCCTCCTTTAAGTTAATCAGTCTGTCTGTTGAAGTGTAACATTCATGCAGCGAAGTATGCAGGTCACAGGTGACAACTGGATGAGATACAGACTATTCTCAGCACCCCAGAAGGCTGGGCACATCCTTGTGCCTCACCCCAATCACCACCTCCCCCTAGGTAACTTCCGTTACCATAAGCAGTTTTGCCTTGTTTTGAACTACATATAAATGGAATCATACCGTGGTACTCTGGCCTCTTTTACTCAACATTGTGTCTGAGATTCACCCATGTTCACTCTTTTGCAGTCAGCTTTTTAAAAGGGTGGGTCCTACCCCTGTGCTCTACTCTCTGACTCGCAGCCCATTCTGTTTCTCTCTACTTCTCCTTCCCCTCCTGTGTCTTGAATACTTGTCCAGGTCCCTTCACATGCCACCAATGTCTTCTGGGGGCTTCGGGTCCAGCACGTTGCTCAGGGTCAACCCGCAGGAATGCCTTCCCTGGTTTCCTGCCACCACCATCTAACCCAGTCTCCCTGGGTTCTGCCTTGCCTCATCCTTCTATCCATTCCCAAGACTCTACTTGTCCCCCTCCATCTTGCACCTCCCAACTGCTCCCATGCCCCAGCTCTGGGGCTCCATTCCCTCTCCTGGCATCACAACCTAGGTATTCCTCCTCAGGCCCCACAGCCAACTCCTCGCAGGCAAAACCATCCTCATCAGCCAGTCATCCTCCCCAGCCTGCTCCCTTTGTGACTTTCTTCTTGATACACACATCACCCGTGTCACATGCCTGCTTCCACTCCATGTGGGCCAATCTTCTGTCCCCATAATCCTTTTGCATCTTCTATTTTCTCTCCATCCCTGTTGCCACGCCGTAGTTCCAGGATGGGTTCCTGATTGCTCACGTGGGTCCATCCACCAACCTGTGCTCACTTGCCTTCTGGCTTTCCTCAGCTATTCATTCAGATTAATCTTCCCTTGACAGCCTCTGTAGGGGTAGAGGCTAACTGTCTTAGCTGCCACATTTAAGGACTTTCTAGACCTGGCTCCCACTCAATGTGGCAGATGTGTCTTCCACAGCTCCTCGTCTCCTGGGTTCCAGCCCAACTGGGCCATTAATCCTGGCTGCCATACCCTGAGTACATGCTCAATGCCATTAACCACACATTCATTTAAATCCCACAACAACCCTGGGAGGTAGGCGCTGATAACATCCTCCCATTTACAGCTGGGGACCCAAAGGCTCAAAAGGGGCACCCCAAGGTCCCAGAACTGGGGGTGGTGGAGGGCAGGAGCTGACCGGGGCCATCTGGTTTCAGAACCCATCCTCTCAAAACTATAGTTCACTGTCCCAGCCACAGGCAGGGCCCTTGGCCACACTGGAGCCTCCAAGCGACAAGCTCTCACCTTGCTCCTTCAGGCCCACCTCAAACACAGCTCTTCTCACACTCCAGCTGGAACTAGTTTCTCTGCCTCCCACAATCTATTTATACCTTTCTTTTTCAAGATTTTTTTATTTTTATTGGGGAATTGGGGGAGAACAGCGCTGGGGAATCGGGGAAGGGGAACAGACAAGTTGCTGTCCTTTTGTTCTTCAGTCTAGTTGTGGAGGACGTGGCTTCACTGGCCCATGTTGGTATTATCATTGTGCTCTTCCCNCAAGTTGCTGTCCTTTTGTTCTTCAGTCTAGTTGTGGAGGACGTTGCTTCACTGGCCCAAGTTGGCACCATCATTGCACTCTTCCTGGGTGAGGCAGATCAGTCGCCGGCTTCTGGACGGCCGCTCACTACAGCTGTGGGCCCATCATGCTGGCTGCTGGCTACACACGGTAGCCCATGGCAACCCACTGCCACAGGGGCTGCAGCCTACGCCATCGCCAGCAACTCACCGCTGCCCAGCTCCAGGTTGAGCTGCTGTTCAGCATCTTAGCTGTAGAGGGCAGTGTCACTGGCCCTCATATGTGGGATCCAAACCGGGGCCCTTTGGTGTCCTAAGCCAGCTCTTAACCAATGCGCCACTCTGCTGATCCCACACACGTGTTTTTTTGCACCCCTCCTTGTCCTTGCATAGAGCAGTGGGCGCCATCTCCATGGGGACAGAGCCCACAGCGGGGTTGATGACATGGAGTTGGGCAGCACCCCACCACCCTTTCCGTTTCCAGTGGGAAGCTTGGGGGGCAGGGAGTGATGGAGAGCTGCAGTTTGGCCTGCTTTTAAATTTATAGTGGTGGACTCACAGACGCACTTGCTTCATTTACAAGAGGGTTTGTAGCTTGCAGAGCACTTTCACGAGATGAGTGGATACCATCTCAGAGGCAACATGAAGTGGGGCCCCATTTGTCTTCATATCGGTTTACCTTTCAAAGTGTAGTCCATTTTGATTAAAAAGGAAGGGCAGGGCTGGCTGAGTGGTGCGTTGGTTAGGAGTTGGCTTGGGATGCCAGCTGTGAGTAGCAGGGCCCTGGTTCGGATCCCACATGAGGGCCAGTGATGCTGTGCCCTTTATAGCTAAGATGGTGAACAACAGCTCCACCTGGAGCGGGGCTGCCATGAGTCGCTGGTGAGGGTGTAGGCTGCAGCCCTTGCTGCAGTGGGCTGCTGTTAAGCTACCGTGAGCTGCCTGAGCCGCGGTGAGCGGCTGTCCAATGGCGGGCAGTCGGGGAGAGCGCAATGATAATACCAACATGGGCCAGTGACTAGACTCCACAACTAGAATGAAGAACCAAAGGACAGCAACTTGTCTGTTCCCCTTCCCCAATTCCCCAATAAAATCTTTAAAAAGAAAAAAAAGGGAAAGTTAATTGCAGCTGAGGCATACACATACACACACAAAATGCTATTAAAGAGAGGAAAAAGTATCACGTTTTTAAATTTATGGGCAGTACAGAAAAAGTACTGTATTGTTTCAGTCACTTCACCCCAGATGGGACTCGAACCCACAATCCCTGGCTTAGGAGGCCAGTGCCTTATCCATTAGGCCACTGGGGCTCTTCGCGAGCGGCGCGGGATCATATGCCTCTTGAATTGTGGCATCGTGGTGACGTCAAGTCCGGAAACTCCAGGGGCAGAGTCGCTATTGGCTAGGGTCCAAGCTCACAACTCGGGGTGAGGGGAGAGACCGCCCGGGGAGGGCCTGGAGGCTTCCTGCCTAGGGCGAGGGGAAGGGTCCGGGATCCGGTTGTTTCGCCCATGGAAGGACTCAAACCGTGAATCTCCTGACCCGAGGTTAGGGTCCTTGTTCATTGAACCACGCGGACCCCTGCGTGCTCAGGGACACCGCGACGCTTCTTTAGGGGTCTGTAGACNAAGCAACGTCCTCCACAACTAGACTGAAGAACAAAAACAACAGCAACTTATCTGTTCCCCTTCCCCCAATTCCCCAGCGCTGTTCCCATCCCCCCAATTCCCCAATAAAACTTAAAAAAAAAAAGAAAAGAAATAGAAAATATGAATACCTGAAGTCCAATTAAAAAAAAAAAAAGAAACTGAAGCTCATCGTAATAAAGAATTGCCCCAGGTCTCCAGTTAGTTAGTGACAGGGCTGAGAGAATCTTGAGCTACCTTCCCCAGTCTAATTTTCTTTATACTGCAACACCCTAGATTCATACTGATTTCCTCTTGGAATGGAGAACATGTTTTTATGTGCTCTATAAGGATTAGCGGCTTTGAGCCCTCTTTTTCGGTTCCTGGGGGGTGTTAATGACAACTCACTGTCCCTGTGTTTGCAGTTTAAGGCACTGAAGGTACCTGTGCCAGAGGATAAATACAGTAGCCTGGTAGATGCAGAAGAAAAAGAAGACGTAAGTAGCTGAGATTCTTATTTTGTCTAAAATTCTCTTAATTCCTGATGGCTCTAGATTTCTTAGTCGTTAGGTAGAGGTAGAATGAACTAAAAGGAGCAATAAAAGAAAACTCTAGAAAATGCAACTAATCTGTGGTGACAGCCCATCAGTAGCTGCCTGGGAATCGGGGGTGGGGAACTGGTAAATTTGTTCACTGTCTTGGTTGTGGTGATGGTTTGTTTCACAGGCAGATACATACATCAGAACTGATGGAATGGTACCCTTTAAATATGGCGCATTTTACTGTCTGTCAGTTATACCTCAACAAAGCTGTTAGAAACAATGAAGGAGTTGGGACTGGGTAGGGAAATCATGTGTGGCAGTATTCACATATCGAGCTGTTTGCTTGTCGGCCCTGAAGGCCAGATGTGGGAGCTCAGATGGCCCCACTGAAGAAGTTTGGCTCAGTAGTCAGGCGGCTTGTCTCGACCATTCGTTAACCGGCCCCTGTGAAACTACAGGCATTTTGCAGGTTGCCAGGATGAAGAATTTGCTGAAGAACCCTGGTTCTGCCATCATAAGCTGGCTCTTCTGTATGGGCTTCTTTGTGTTTAGGAAAAGCTGTAGTTTGCCTCCCAAAGTGAGCTCTCCCCAGTAGTCAGGGCAGCCATGTATTCTCTATAGAGAGTACACAGGAAGGGTGGACTGGCCTGGGACTTCCCATGCCATGGGAGCCTCGGGGTCAGGACAGTACACCTTGGTCTCAAAACTGAATTTTTCCCTTCTCTTAAAGGTGAAAAGTTGTGCTGAGTTTCTGTCTATGTCGAAGACCAGGATTGAGCAGTACGAGAAAGAGGTGAGAGTGTGCGTTGGCCTCTGCCTGTAATATTTTCTCCCCTTTACCTTGTGGCAGTAACCTGCCTTGACTTCTCTTTTGCATCTCTCTAGCCCTATTTACCTTAACACATTTCCCCTCCTTCCAGCTGGAGAAGATGAGGAACATAATTCCATTCGATCAGATGACCATTGAGGACTTGAATGAAGTCTTCCCAGAAACCAAATTAGACAAGAAGAAGTATCCCTACTGGCCTCACAAACCAATTGAGAATTTATAAACTGGAGTCTGGCCCTTGTGTTATAAACTCGACATTAAAAGTAATTATATAGTGCTCTGTGTGTCTGCTCCTTTGCAGATGAGATAGTTACAACCCTGAAGTGACCTCACGGGAAGTGGGCTTTTTGTTAAAATGAAAAGGGAAGCCTACAGGTATGTGCTGGTCCAGTGGTCTAATGATCAGGATGTATAGGAGCCAATTACTGAGCCCCCAGGGCTGCTGAAATCTTAACAAATGACAGTAGGTCCGATGATAGAGTATGTCACTGGGATATGATAAAGTGGAATCATCTAGTGGTTCCCTTGATCTTGCGCTTTGGTTTCACACCACTGGTTGCGAGGGAGTGCTCCCTTCTCCTTGTCCAGTAGGTGGTTGAAATTGTGGGTGGAACAGCAGGGTGAGTAGCAGCAGGGCTCTGTGTTCTGTGCTTCAGCTCTTCAGCATAAATGTGGCATAAAAGAAAATTTTGTCACAAAGTTAAAACCTGTTACAGCGTTATAAATCAGTACTCTCTCATTAAGTGTCACAAAAAGCTAAAAAAAATTAGGTCAGTGGAACAACAATGCTCAGAAAAGTCCATAAATATATGCATTTAAGTATTTGCTATATAATCTAAGTGGCATTTTGAATCACTGGGGAAAGGCACTGATGTAAGTGCTTAAATATTTGTATTACAGTAAGAACAGATCCTTTTACATGAAAAATCAGAATAAATTTCAGTTACAGATTTAAATGTTAAAACAAATCCAACAAGAAACAGCAGGGAAATTTGTAAGTGAATATTTATATAATCTCCAGGTGGTAGAGTTAACACCCCTAAGCATAACATCAAAGCAGACACTGAAACTATGATAAACAAGTGGATGGATTTAGGGGAAAAACAAAGCAGGCACTTGGGGAACCTATAGTCACCTTTGACTTGAGCCTTGTACTCCTCCCATCCCCACCTGTCCTCGAGTGGGGCACCCCTGTCCCCCAAATCCTGGGTACCATCTTGGGCTCCTTGTCTCCCCCACTCCACAGTGGTCAGGTCAGGCACCATGTCCCGCAGATGCCATTTCCTGAATGTCTGCTTTACTTTCCTTCTCTTGGTGGCACTATTTTGCCTACATTCAGGATAATTCATCTCCAAACAATACATCTCTCTCCCGGTCTCCCTGTCTGTACTGTCACCCACCTCCAGTCCATTATTTATGTTGCTGTCACAGGAATCTTTTAAAATGCTAATATGGGCATTTTACTCTACTTGAAACTCTGCCCTGGATTCTTACTCCCCACAAGATCAGATGCAGCCTCCTTACCCCAGCCTGCATGGCTGTGGGGTTCTCTGTTGGTACACCGTTCCTTCCTGGTTACAGCCATAAGGAATTGTGGGCTGCACCTCCCACTCCACCGTTACCATCAGGCATTTGCTATACCTGCTCCTAACCCCAGAAGATGAAGATCTAGAGGATTCTAGAAGGTTCTTTGTTGAGTGCCAGCACTATATTTCTATTACCCAGGCCTTAGCATTGTGCTTGCCATTTCCAAGAGTCAAGATAAATTCATGATACATGAAAGAGAAGAAATGCGAGCTTTCAGGGTTCGCATGCATCTAGCTAGGAGATTATCACACATAAAACCTTGAATAATAGGGCAAACTAGTATATTAGTAAATGATGATGATCATGAGTTATAGACCACATTATGTTCCAGGAATTGTTCCAATCACTTTACATAAATAATCTCATTTACTCCATACAACTGTATGAGGTAGGTGGTGTATCAGTCAAGACATTAAAGAAGTGGCGACACTNACCTTAGCACTCCTTCGTCCTTCCGAGCTTTATTGTCTCCAGAGTACTTATCACCATCTCACATACCCTGTCCTTCTTTTTTCGTATTGCCTGTCTCCCTCCATTAGAAGACAACCTCCACAAGCATTAGGATTTTTGTGTTTTGTTCACTACTCTATCCCCATGCCTAGCACAGTGCACAAAGCAGGCTTTCAATAGAAATTGTTGAGTGAGTGAATAAAGCAATGCACCTTTTCTTCCAGTCCTGTAGGTGGAAATTTATCAGAAATGGCTGGGTCCTATCGCTCCTGTGCAGGGGCCTGATACAGAGCCTGCACACGGCGGGCTGTCATTCAACGCATCCTGAGGAAACGGACGAGAAGCCCTGTTTCCCAGGCATGCTGGGGTTACGAGAGGCTAAGGACAGTGTGACTTTCTAAAAGATTCCAGAAGGCAGCAAACAACTTGGCACCCTCCTGCCTTTATTGTCCTCTCTGCAGGGCCAGAATGCCACAGTTTCCCTTGGGACAAGAATCTGGGCCTGAGGGCCGGGGAACTCATGCAGAAAAGCTGGTGGTCTTGTAGGAAGCACATCCAGCGTGCTCTCCGGGCGCCTGCACACCTCAAGCCATCCTGGGGACCAAGATCCTCCCTGTGGCCCCAGTCCCCGGTTGCTCAGGCAACCAGCTCCCCTCCCGCGGCGGCACCTTCGATTAGCGGCGCGCCTGGCCAATGGGACCCCGGCTTCCTGAAGTCACCCTCCAGAGACGGAGAAACGCCCCTTCCGCCCGGCCCTCCCGGCTCACCGGGACCCTCCAGGCAGTAGCCAAACCCCGCGACTCCGGGTAGAGCTTGTCCAGGCTGTAGATGCTCTGGAACTCGGTGCCGTCTACCTGCTTGTGCAAATCCCGGCGAAGGCAGTGCGCGGGCGGCGGCAGCAGCCTGGCTCTGGCTCGGCTCAGGCCCAAGCGCAGGCACCAGGCGGCCGCCATGTTTGAGTCTCGGAGTCGCTTCCGGTGTCGCCTGCTTTCGCGGTCCGCGAGCTCGCGTTTCCGCCTGGACTTTAGTTCCATGGGTCTGTTAGCCTCCGCCGCGGTAGGCGGCGAGCAGAATTTCCGGCGTGGCTCTTTCGCGGAGCCTATTAGAGGCTCCCCATCCGCCGCCTCTCGGAGGTCTGGTTGTCGCTCAGAAGCCCTCTGCAGCCGTGGGGAAGACGTTGGCCAGACAGTGAGCTCTCAAGGGCGCCTCCTGGTAAAAGGACCCTCGGATTGTCGCCCAGAAACACCACTATTCTATTTAGAATCTGTGCCCTCCTGGACCCCTTTCCCCACAATTCTCAGGCCATCAATAAGGCCTACCCTGCCTGACCTAGTTCATGTCCGTCCCCTATACTCTGCTCTTTTTTTTTCTTTTACATCATTCAGTGTAATTGTTGTAGCTTATTGCCTGTTTTTCAGCCTGAATGTAATAAGCTCCAGGAGTGAGTGCATTGGCTCACTACTGGATCCCGAGCACCCGGAACCTGGCACATCATGGGTAATAAATATTTGTCAAGGTTGGAACATGGGGAGAATTTTTATAAGTTTATTTGCTCCAAACTGACAACATATGCTGGGGAGCAAGATCTAAAATGCTCCCCCANTGAGGGATTACAGCAAAGGGGCGGGGCCGGTGGTTACCGTGATGGCCATCTTCTGCCGCACAGGCTCTGCGATCCAGTCGGCAGTTGCCAAATGGAACCTGACTTCAGCCTTGGAATTCACTGTAGAGAAAGGGACGAGGGAGCAAGGGTCACCGAGAATCTAGGTAGGCTCAGCACCAGGGTGGCTGTGACCATTCTAAAACAAAGGGAGGTGACACACCCAACCAGGTACGTTTCTATCCTGCATCAACTTGGGGACACAGAGGTGGCCATGGAATGAGCCTGCAAAGATAGTGCGGCACTTTTGGACAAAAATAAACTTCCAGGAGCGAAACGCCCAGTGCTTCTCTTACAGTTTATTGGGTGCTGGAAAGAGTGGGGGGATGGGCCCCACAAGAATGAAGGAAACCTGTTCTTGAAGCTGCCTGCCAATGCACACTGTGATTTCCCTTTGTTTAGACTCACAAGCCAATCCTAGTCCTAGCAACCCACAGCTGAGAGGCTGAGAATCAGACCACATTCACAAAAATAAAGAGGATTATTAGAAACTAGAGGTGTTTAAGCTTCTGCTAAAAAAAATAAAAATAAAAATAAAAAATCCCTTTATTCGACATGAATGTAAACACAGGGTCCTCAAGTCATCTGCCAAGTTTTAAAGTGAAAGAAAACAAGGTGCCTTGTACCTTTGTTAACATTCTGGCCTCCAGGACCACTACTCCGACAATAAGATATTGTCAAGCGATCTGTAAAACAGAACACACACCAAAAAAAAAGGATTATCCCATGGCAAAATGTGCAAACTTAATTTGCTATCAACATAACTATCCCTATTCCACATCTGTCTCTTTCACTGTTTTTTTTTTTTTTTTTTTAAGCTGAGCCGTCCTGCTTCCTTTTGGCAGCGCAGCGGCTGCTCAGCTCGGGCTGGACTCGAACCGCTGTTGCTCAGAACTCAAACTCTTGAGCGAGCTCTTAACCAACTGAGCCACTCGGCCGGCACTTTTTTTTTTTTTAAAGATTTTTATTGGGAAATTCGGGGGATGGGAACAGTGCTGGGGAATTGGGGGAAGGGAAACAGACAAATTGCTGTCGTTTTCTTCAGTCTAGTTGTGGAGGACGTTGCTTCATTGGCCCAAGTTGGCACCATCATTGCGCTCTTCCGGGACGAGGTAGATCAGTCGCCGGCTTCTGGACAGCCGCTTACTGCGGCTGCTGGCCGCTCACGGTAGCCCATGGAAACCCACTGCCACAGGGGCTGCAGCCTACACTGTCGCCGGTGACTCACGGCAGCCCAGCTCCAGGTTGAGCTGTTGTTCAGCATCTTCACTGTGGAGGGCAGTGTCACTGGCCCTCATATGTGGGATCTGAACCGAGGCCCTCCGGCATCCAAAGCCAGTTCTTAACCATCGCGCCACTCGGCCGGCCCTCTTTCACTTTGATATATATAAACTAACATCCAGATCAGTAGAGTAAGAGATTATTTACAGGTGTCAAAACTAAAACCAAGAGGAAGTGACTGTCCCAAGGTCACATAGACAGCAGAGAATGTAAAATTATGACCCATTTTCTGCTTCTGGTCTAGTCCTTTCCACCAGATCCAGCTGCCCTCATTTGTTGCTGTTCGTTTGTTTTAAAGCAAAGATTCTCTCAAAAGCTCAACCGAAAAGACAAACTTAGTTTAATGTTATATTTCAAAACGTGCTGGACGTGGATCCCACTAGACTGTAAGCGCCAAGGGGGCAGGCGTGTGTCTAATTCATGAGGATTCCCAGTGCCTAGCACTTCGTCAGTGTTTAAAAACATCTGCCGGGGGGCCCGCTGAGTGGCTTAGTTGGTTAAGCGCTTGCTCAAGAGTTTGAGGTCTGAGCAACAGCGGTTCGATGCCCGGCACGAGCTGAGCTGCCAACAGGTGGCAGGATGGCTCAGCTAACAAAAAAACAAAACAAAAAAATCTGCCGGATAAATGAGCACTCGCTTTGGAGCTGGGAGGCCTTGCTTCTAACACTGGCACAGCCACTGACTGACTATGTGATCTTGGCCGAGTCCCACTGCTTCTCTGGGTCTGTTTTGTGTTTGGAATCTCTAAGTGAGGTTTCTTCCTTATATTTTTAGAGTTCATGAAAAGCAGCCTCATAGTGTCTGAAGAAAGTAGGGAAGTGGGAAAAGTCAGACGACTAGAAGGTAAGCTACAAGAGGTTTGGGTGGCAAAGAACTCTGGTCCCATGGTGGCAGCAAGCAGGCCTCGCCGGGCAGTGGTGTCCACGCCAGGCCACCTAAGCCTGGCTTGCTGCAGCCGTGTCTGTCCTTGCAGGAACACCTGTGATCCTCCCAGAGCACAGGAGACAGGTGAGGAGCTGCGACACAGCTATCTCCCACACGCCTCCCTGTCTCCCCTGGAGGCTGTCTTGAGAGTTTCTTAGCCTCCCGTTTTGGGAGACAGGCTTTCTGCCTCCTCCAGGCACATGCGCACCTCAGGGCTCAGCAGCAGGCTAGCAAATCGGCCCCAGGGTGCCCCCTCCTCGTGTTGCCATCACTTGGCCTCTTTGTTTCAGTGTCACCCTGAGCAAGGGCCACAGGGAGCCGGCACCTTTGGTGCTCTTCCTTTCCCTGTGTGTGGAGTTACAAACTCTGAACCTGAAAAAGAATGGGTTGTTTCTTTCCAGGCCTTGCCTTACACTTGATGGGTACACAATTCTAAAGTTATGCAAATGGTTTACAGGGAGTGGTCCCCTCAAGTTCATGCTTTCCTCCCCACTCCCCAAGGCAGTCCTCATATCCAACTTCTTGTACATCTTTTCAGATCTATGTATACATACTGAAATACATATATTTCAGATGTACATTTAAGGCACAAATGATAGCTTACTATACATACTCTTCTTTTCTTTTATGAAAGTTTACGGGGTGACAATTGTTAATATAGTTGCATAGGTTTCAGGTGTACAATTTTGTAATACATCATCTATATATCACATTGTGTGTTCACCACCCAGAGTCAGTTCTCCTTCCATCACCATATATTTGTATACATATTCTTCTGTACCTTACTTTCTTCACATGAAGATCAATTCATTTCCTATAAAGATTATTCCATGTCACAAGAACATCAAGAGCTCTCCATTCATGCTGCACACTGCACAGCACACAGCGGCTGCAGCATCGTTTTTTTGCTATTCTAAATAATGCTGAAAAGACTCCACATTTGCACACCTGAAGACAGTTTCTTTACTTTCATTAGGCTGGAGTGCTCTGGAAGGAATGAGTGAGGGGTGGGGAAATGGCTGATTTTTTTATGAAACAAAATTACTTACCGAGAGGAATGTCATTGTTGGCTTGCTTTGCATCATCCTGTAATGTAACGTACACAGTGTTAAATAAATATTACCTGCTGGGTGACTCTAACTGGTCCAGGCCAACCAAAGAAATGATGTAAAGCCACGACGCAAATGTAATACAACTATTGTCAGGTTCCCAGCAAAATCATTCAGACGACAGAAAAAGCTTCCCCAGACTCCAGAGGTCCCACCTCAGAAACACTCTTCCAGGAAAATGGAACTGACCTCTCCAGCCTTCCCTGCCCCCACCTCAGCTACTGTTGGGCGCCATCAGAGGTGTGGCTCCTGGGAGGGTAGGAAGGCACCTGGGTACACATGCATCAGGGTGACTCCAAAAGGAACACCCTCGGCCAACCTGGAGCAACAAACCTGGTATGCCACCTGGTTCCTTCCGCTCACCTGGGAGGCTGTCTGCCTTGAGCAGTGACTAGCACATCTGCCATGAGGGTTTGTGGCAAACTGAACTACTCACTCCAGGATCTCGCACCTCCATGTCTCTCCCACGCTGTTCCTCTAGCAATGGCCTTCAGCCTTAGACCCTCATGTCCACAGGCCCAGGGCAAACACTACCCCTCTGAGGCTCCTCTGCCCATCCAAGCTCAAAGCATCCTCACCTGCCCCCCACCCCCACCCCCACCCTCACCCCTTTTCATCTTAGAATTACTTGGGGATGGAATCCTCATCTGACTCTCTGCAGCACTGAAGACCACAGATCACACCCTCCCTGATGCAAGTGCCTCCCCTTCCTGCTGAGCTATCCCCTCGTTTTTTCCTCTTACCTCCTAGGGCGTTCGGTCTCTTTTGCTTGCTCTTTGCAACCTTTAAACACAGACACGTCCCTGAAATCCTATCTCTTTTCTATCTTACTCTTCCCCCAGAACATTTCATCCATCCATGTTGATGAAAATATCATCTATGTTAGTGACTCCCAGCTTTCTGGCTCAAACTCAAACCCCTTTCTTCAACTCAAGACCCACAGAGTCAAGTGCTATTCGGTGTCTTTTCTCAGATGCCCGATGGGTGCCTCAAACCTCAAGCCTCCTCACAGAAGACGTCCCTTACCATCTCAAGTAGCTCCCCAACAACTCTATGACAGCACCCTGATCTATTCATTACTTCTCACTACCTGATGTGTTTTCTCTATTTGCTTACTGTCTGCTCCTTACACTAGAACAGAAGCTATATCTGCAATGCTTGAAACAGTGTCTGACACAGTAAGAACACAATAAACTTTTTGCTGAACGAAAAAACAAATGAATATTATTGCCACTTTCTAATCTCAATTAATGGCAACTCAATCCTTCCATTGCTCAAGGCCTCAGACTTCAAGCCCTCTCTTATTTTCACTTCTCATAGAAAATCCATTAGCAAATCTTAGAGGCTTTCCCTACAGAGAACAGGTTCAAAATCCAGAACCCGACCCATTCTCATGATTCCTATTGCTTTCACCCTGCTTCTCATCTCTTGCCTGTATTACTGCCATCTCCTAAGTGGTTTTCCTGTTCTTGTCATTCTACAGTCTATTCTTCACAAGGCTCTATAAGTGATGCCTACAAAACCAAGGTGAATCATTCTACTCGTCTGCCTCAAACCCTCCAGGAAGCCCCCATCACATTCAGAGTAAAGCCAAAGGCCGGTAAGCCCTATAAAAAGGCCCTCATCTCTCTCCTTTTTAGCTTCATCTCCGCNTCCCAAGCCAGCTCTTAACCAACGCGCCACTTGGCCAGCCCTATTTATACCTTTCTTATGTTATTCACCATGTTTTGAGTCATGTTACCATATAGGGATCCATTTTTTTCTTAGCTGATCCAATGTCAATTCTCTGGAAGAAAGGCCTTTCTTCACTGCTGACTTCCCAGGACCTCAACCAGTGCCTAATGAACTAAGGAACGCTGCACTTCCTCGCTGCCCACTAGGCTCCGAGTCCCTGAAGGACAGGGACCGTGCCTTCCACATTTTTTGTATTTCATTGTAAGAGGCATTTATCGATGACTTTCCCTTTTTTCCCTCCCATGAATGATGAGGTCTGTGCTCACATAAAGTCTATACATTACTACTGTTGGTTATCTTGCATTAGAGAATCACAATGCAGTATTTGTCAAATGAGTGAACCAGATCAAAATAATAGAGAACATCCTATGAAATTCACACATGCCAGAGTAATCTGCTGCTGGGATGCTGGCCCAGGTGCTCCACACCCAGAGGATTGCAAAACCCTTTTGCAGTCCCAACTCCATCTTCCTGCCCCCACAGCCTGTGACAGCACCTCACACATGACACTCCCTCCCATTCAAGTTATTCCCTATTACCTGTTTCCTAAAATCTAACCTCCTTAATTTGAATCCCAGAATCTCTACACCGAGCGTCTATCTCCCTCTCACGACCTCCCCTTCAGATAGCTACCTCGTCATTCCCTCCGCCCCAACCCCAGCCTCTTCTTTGGTCTCCTTTATCCACACTGTTCCCTTCAGCTGGCGTACCCTCCTCCCCTCTCCACTGATTAAGATTCTATACCTTTTTCGAGGCCCGGCTCAGTTACCTACTCACTTGTCCCAGTCCTTCTACCTGACTATGCATTCCTGGAGGGCAGACCCCATACTCATTCCTTTTCCCCCCACTGTGACAAGTAGTCAGTGACAATGATTGTTAGGCAGATGTCAACTGCAAGAAAAGGCAGCAATTCCGTTCTGAAGCACTCTGAAGAAAAAGAGATGCCCACTGCATGTAGGATTTTATTG